GTGATTCCAATTATCTGCAGATTTGGAGCCACCATCTTAAATGATCCCAGAAATAAAGTAAATGCACACATAGTGTTGTGCTGAGTAAGTATCTGTTGAATTGGAAACTAAATTCATTATTTTTATTACATGTCATTAGTAAAGGTCTCTAGGTAGTGCAAACAGTTTGCACTTGTCTACTAACATAAAAGGGAGTGCCAGGTGATGTTGTAGGCTGTAAGGATTTATAGCCTCAGAAACCCTATACAAGGTCACTGTGAGTTGGGATCAACTCAACAGCACCTAACGACAGCAACTCACATAAAGGTTGGAAGTTTGAAGCCACCCATCTTCACCAGAGAAGAAAGGCCTGGTGATCTGCTTCCATAAAGATTATAGGCATTCAACCGTAAGAGAACAAAAGAACAAAAGAGCAGCATTGGCCTGGGGAGAAAGCTCAGAAGGCAGGAAGAGACAGGACAGAAAAACAAATGGCAAAGGTAAACACAAGGAAGAAGTGGGGAGAGTGCTGTGACATTGGGGGGGGGGGGGCAGCAATCAGTGTCATGAATCAAAATACATGTTGAATGGAAAACCAAATTGCTCTGGAGACTTCCACCCAAATCACAATATAAAGCTTTTGTTTCTGTTTTTTAACTACAACCAAGAAACAGGGAAGTTCTATTCCGCAGCACAGAAATTGCCCTGAGTTGGAATTGACAACAAAAAGTTTGGGTTTTGGTTTTATCATTAGTAAATTCTTTCATGCCACATAGTATTAAAATGGCAACAACAACAAAAACAACAATCTCCAGACGACTTGCAACCTATACAACTTCCTGAATCTGACTGAAAGAGTTCATTAGTGTTGCCAACTGATCACAAATTCTTAGATGAGGTTTTTTTTAGCTCTCACCCCAAAAAGTTTTTTATAGCTAACATCCCTAAAAGGTCCCTCTGTCTGACCAGGTAAATCTAGCATTACCAGTTGTTGAGTCAACTCTGACTCAGGATAACCCCATATGTATCAAAGTAGAATGTGTTCTCTAAGGTTTTCAATGACTTATGTTTTAGAAGAAAATTATCAGATCTTTCTTCCAAGGCACTCTGGGTAGATTCCAATCTCCAATCTTCCAAAAAGCAGCCAAATGCATTAACCACCTGCGCCACTCAGAGACTAAGCTAGCATCACAATGACCTAAAACTAACAAATAACTAAGACTACCCATCAGTCTTATATCCCAACCAGAACAATTTGCCCAAAATGAAAGAGAAAAACAAACAGCCCCTGCACTACATTCCCATGCCCTTGTGAATTACATCATTTTCAAAAGATCCTTCCTTCTATCCAACAGACATAACATTCTATCTTCAAACAGCTTATGCTTGGATTAAGTTTCTATGGTTTATTGTAACCAAATCAACCCAGCCCTCCTCCACTCAAAAAGTGCTTCTAAAACATATAAATCTTCAAACATAGAGAATGAACAATGTTAATTGAACAGAGTTCTCCAACTGTATATTATATTACGGAAATGTGAAATATTTACCTAAGGGTTATAAGGATTTGTGCCTCAAAAAAGATTGAGGAATTTCCTCCTTTAACCATGTTGCTGTTGTTTTTGTTGTTAAGTGTCACTGAGTCGGTTCCAACTCATACCAACCCAAGGAGCAGCCGATGGGTTTGAACCTCAAATCTTGTGGTTAGCAGTCCAGTGCTTATCCTACAGCACCACAACAGGACGCTTTAATGATGGAGTTCACAATTCTAAAGATGGAAAGGCTACCATGATAAGATGCCTCACATAGTAATTCTTCCTGATTAGATACTGCCTTTCATCTTCCAAGTGCTGAACCAGTATTTACTTCCTGTGGTGCTGTAGAATCAACACTAGACTGCAAACCACAAGGTCAGCAGTTCAAACCCACCAGCTGCTCATCAGAAACCCCATACAGGGTTGCTAGGAGTCGGAATTGATTCCACGGCACTTAACAGCAACAACACTTTCTGCAAGAAGACACGTGTTTCTAGAGGCACTTACCACTGTGGCCAGTCATTAGACCATCCACTCAAGTAGACTATGGGAACTTGTCTTCAACTTTCATTTTAACAGGATTACTAACCACTCCTAAGCCCATTAATAGGATTTCCTTGTTTGGTTGGTTTTTCTTGAAGGTTTTGAAGTTTTCTTTGGTTAGCTTACAGTGCATGTGTAAAACAATCCATGTTTAGGTATATGCTCATTCTGAGTTATTTGAGGCAGGGTATGCATTTCTTATGGACACCAGCAAGTCTGTGCTGTAATGGTGGTGGTGACGGTGGTGCTAAGTGTCATTGAGTAGGTTCAGACTCATAGCAACACTGTATAGGGTTTCCTAGGTGGGTTTTAACCACTGACCTTGTAGTTAGCAGTCCAGTGCTTATCCTACAGCAAGACCTTTTAAACAATATAAGTCACTGTAGGCTCATACACACATATACACATACACAAAAATCCCAAGAACACCCTCTTCCTCCATATCCACATCTGCATTCTCATCCTAATTAAATCACAGTCATTTCTTACCTCAGTTGCTATAATAGTAACCTAGCTCCTCACCCTACATCTAATACCTACCAACCAAAGAAAATTTTTGTAACCTCATGAATTATGTCTTGTCACTCCCCATGCTTAAAACCTCCCAAGGGGTTCTCAATTGCATTTAGATTAAAACTAAACCTACAATGTTCCTTTATCATTGTCTCATTGTTTCCACCCTTAAAAAAAGAAAAAAAAATCTATTGCCATCAAATCAATTTCACTCATGGTGACTCCACGCTTTCCCATGTAGAACTGTTTCACAGGGTTTTCTTGGCTGTAATCTTTATGCAAGCAGATTGACAGACCTTTCTTCTGTAGTACTACTAAGCGGGTTCAAACAGTCAACTTTTAGGTTATTAGTTGAGTGCAAACCATTTGTGCCACTGTGGACCTCACTTTCACCTGCTCCATCAAACTCTACTTTAACACAACAGCCAGCATGATTGGATCATGTTACTTACTCTTCTACTTAAAATATTCCATTGGCTCCAAGACCCTACACACACTGACAACCCAGTGCTCACAGAACCCATCAAGTGCTATCCCCACTATAATGCTTTACTCTTCCATACTGAGAATGCTCTTCTCCCATTTCCCAAACACCCCATTCAGGTCTTGGTTCACTAGACTGATCTCACTATGTAACTTTCCCACTTCCCATACCCCTAACTCCGTTTTCCTGCCTAGACTTTCTCCAGGGCCTTTAGACACATCTGTGATAACATACATTTTGCTAGTTTATTAACTGGCCTACTAGGATGTAAACTCCATGAAGGTATGAATTGTTATCTATTTTGTTCATTTCTGTGTACCAATGCCTAGAACAGTGCCTGGCACATAATAAGTACTTAATAAATACAACTGAATGACTGGAGGATTGGAGCCCTCCCTTCCTACTCCCCTTTCTCAAACTTGTTCACTCAGTTCCAGTCTCAATTGACTTTCTCTCCTGCTTCCCCAGCAGGCCAAGCGGGCTGCAGCCCATTTGGGGTTGTTTCTTCCTGCTGTCTGGACTGCTCTAGCAATGACTGCTCAGTTAAAGTAGCTCCCATTCCACCCGCGAGCACACTCATATCATATCTGAAATTATCTTGTTGATTCGTGAATCTACTTGCTTATTCTCTGACTCCTCTACTTAAATGGAATCCCTAGAGCAGGGCCTGGCTATCTTGTTCAGTTACTCCTTGGTGCCTGGAATAGACTTGACACATAATACCCATTGTTACTGAGACCACCCTGTGTAGGGTTTCTGGGACTATAAAACTTTTATGGGAGCAGCCAGCCTCATCTTTCTCTGGCAGAGCAGCTGGTGGGTTTGAACTGCCAGCCTTGCAGTTAGCCATCCAGTGCTTATTCTACAGTGCCGCCAGAGCTCCAGTAGTACATAATAGGTGCTCAGTAAATACCTATGTAGATAGTGGATCTGGAATCAGTCACATTCACATTAGTCTCAGTTATTTTAAGTATAAAATAAGAAGAGTGATGATGTCCTCTGAGGCTCTTTGGACTCTCAAATTCTGGTTTTAAATTCCTGTGACTCAGTATAGTTTACAAAGAGCCCTCGATTATAATTCATTACTGGTATGAAAGGAACAATGGCCATTAACACTGTGCATTACCTGGTGGTGCAAACTATAAACGGCTAAGTGAAAGGTTAGAGACTCGAGTCCATCCAGAGATGCCTTGGAAGAAAGACGCCTTAAAAAAAAATCAGCCATTGAAAATCCTAAGGAACACCGTTCTACTCTGATACATATGAGGTTGCAATGAGTTAGATCCACCTGCAACACAATTGTTACTATCTAGCTTTTGTAAATGAAAAAAAAAAAAAAAAAGCTAAGAGACTGCTCCATGACAAATGTGGGGCTGGTGTGTTTGAACTGCCAATCAGCAGTCCACTGCTTATCCTACTCCTTTTCCATGAATAGACTTGGTAATTTGAGAATGAATGGTATAATCATTCTTTGTAATCAGTACTAATTTATCAGCTTAAAACTAATCTGATTATAAAAATAATTATTCATCTTTAAAATACACTCTGAAACGGTTGCTCATGTACTTTAAAACATTTGGGCTCTGAAAGCCCAGCTACCGAGGGGGTTCTGCAGTAATAGGTGAATTCGCAGTCACCAAATAGGTGAAACTCGGCTTTGAGAAAGCTGTGAAGGGCCGGACCCTTTCTGAAAACTCGGTAAATGTGCGGAGCACACAGCCAGTTTCATTGGCACTGAAATTTGCGCCATTTGACCTGGGCGCGGCCGAAGTGCACGCAGGGCAGGAGCCGCCTGCACTGCACAGGTCCCCCGGCGCCTCCACCGCTCCCGCCAGCCGCAACCCAGGAGCTTGGCGCCGCGAAGTCGGAAGTTCCTGGGACAGGTGGCTGCTGCGCAGCCGGGCGCTCCGTGCAGGCCCCCGCCCGGACCCATCAACCCGCCTCACCCGTACGTGGTCAGCAGCGCCTTGTTGACCAGTACGATGAGGAAGGAGCAGGTCCCGTAGAACAGCGCCGACAGCAGCTTGGCTGTCCGGAAAGATAGCTGTGCGGAGGTGGGATCTGCGTCCGCACCCTCGGACTGGCCGCCCGCCGTCATGTCCTGCCGCCTGCCGCCTCCGCCGCAGACTGGCCTGGCTCCGACTAGGGCCCCAGTTCCGTCCCCGCCCCTGGCCTCCAGGGGAAGAGGGCGCGGCAGAAACTGAAAGAGCTGCAACGCGAACCCCAGGTCCGTCCCGCCCCCTATGAGCTCCCCAAAACAGTTGGTTCCGGATACTGTGTGCCTGGACTTTATCCTCGGATTGACGGTGCATATAAACGCCTCCTTCTGCCTCCAGTCTAAATAGAGAAAAGAAACGTGTTTGGAAGATTAAACGCCCCCCATCCCTTCTTCCAGAGTGCTCCTTTTCAAAGAAACGGTGCTTCAGTCTCAGGGCCCGGTTTGCTTTCTTCTCCTTAGCTCCACCCCCCAAAAATTTTGTTTGAAGATGAAATTTACAAACAATAAAATGCAGACCTCCCGTGTCCAGTTGGGTGAGTTGTGTACCCGCCAGTTAAAGCATTCGGCGTTTTCATCAGCCCCTAGATTTCCAGTCCCCCTTGACGTCAGCACCCTCATCTCATTCTGATTTCAATTCCTGTAGGCTAAGTTTGCCTTTTCTAGAGTTTCACAAAAGTGATCATATACACTTTTAAGGCTCTTTTCTCTCGATGTATTATTTTTTTAATCCCCCCATACGGTTTTGGGTTCCAGAAATTTGTTCATTTTAAGTTGTTGAATGGCATCAATTTGTTTTATCCATTTACCGGTTGATAGGCATGGAGATATGTATGGACGGAGAGGGGCTGTGTGCTGACGACCCAGGGGCAGGCTTGCGGGGTATACCCTTTGGTTGTTTGATGATGAATGGAGGGGATTGTAATCATGGCAATGAAACGATAAGATAGGACGAATGTAAAGCTAATGTTCTCCCATGTAAACTATCACATACAACATTTTTTAAAAATATGAAAGTTATGAAGAGAAATAAAACCCAAGTCTTAAAACTGAAAAAAAAAAAGATGGAGACAGCCTAAATGTCCACTAACAGAAGACTGGTTAAGCAAAGTTTGGTACAGACACACAATAAAATAATACAAAATATTGAAGAATAATGATGAATCTGTGAAATATCTCAAAACATGATTGAACCTGGAGGACAGTTAATGCTGAGTGAAATTAGACAAACATTGTATGAGACTATCACATAATTCACAATAAAAACTTAAAAATTTGTGTGCAAGTTCTTGTGTAGACATGCGTATTCATTTATCTTGGGTAAATATTGTAAACCCTCCACCACCACCACCTATAACAGGTTCGCGTAAACAGCATATATACGTATACCATGCAGTGCTCACAGTTAACACAAAAGTTTGTGAATGTTTGCAAAAACCATCGGGCACCTAGCAGTGAAATGGCTGGCTTAGGACAACTATAGATTGCCTCCGGGGACGTTCTCGTCTCTGAATGCGCCTCGGGTGCCCATTTATATGCCGCTTATGCCGCCTGGATAGCAATTAAACATCTGTCTTTCTAGTTCACCTTACTCGAAGGGGAGCCTCCCACAACTGCCAATTCTGGACAATCATCCTACTCTAGCATTTCTTCAAGATACTCATCCCAAATAATTAACTTTTAAAAAACTGAAATTTTAGTTTTCTCAGAATTGATAAAATTTTCAAGTTAAGTAGAAATTTGAGTCACACTGCATCAATGTGTGGGACAACTATTTCTCTTTTGTAGGCATTGAACAAGTCAGACTAAACACTGAAAAAGTTTCAGCCCTGACTAAAACTAAAACAGAACTTTCAGAAAATAGTCAAGACAATAAGAGCCCAAATGACTCAAAACACACCAAACACATACAATATCACCCTGCCTTAAAATAGAAATTGAATCTACTTGAATAACAAGCATTTGAGTTAAGTTGAAAGAAAATTTGAACTTTTAAGTCATATTGGCTAATTTCTTCAAAAAGGCTAGTGAGCCTATAAATATTTTGACTGCAAAACAGTATTTTTGAAGCCATGTTAAGTCATACTCAACCTTCATCATATTTGCATTTAATTGGCTCTTGGGTATACTACCTTACTTAATTACAACTTACATCATTTATCATTGCTTGTGAACTTTTCTGCACAGACAGGCTGAACCTTACCACTGCAAATACACTACTAAAGATCTACTAAGAAAAACTGAAAAATATCCAGAATGCATAAAAATAGAGGTCAGGTTAATGGTTACCATGGGTTAGGAAGAGGGAGGAACTGGGAGCTAATGCTTAATAGGTTCAAAGTTTCTGTTTGAAGTGATGAATGTTTTAGAAATAGTAGTAATGATTACACAATAATAACAATGACACTGAATTATACATTTAAAAATGGTTAAAATGACAAATTTTATGTCACATGTTATCACAAGTGAATATTGATGGGGGCAAAAAGCCACTTTGCTTGACTCTTAAGAGAGAACACTCTGAGTGGATTCTTGGAAAAATAATCCCAAGGTTCAATACATGCTAAATATAAGTGAAATGAAATCCCAGTTCCTTGTTATCTTAAGGCCTATGATGTTGTTAAGTGCCATGAGTCAGTTCCAACTCATAGCGAACCTGTACAGGGTTTCCAAGAAGTGGCTGGTGGGTTTGAATTGCCAGCCTTGTGGTTAGCAGTCCACCACTTATCTAAGTACCACACCAGGGCTCCAAGATCTGTGCTAGGACTGGCAACAGTCCAATACTTATCCCTACAGGTATTTTTAACATTGCAATACTGAGCCGGATGTTGTTGTTAAGGACTGTCAAGCGGGTTCCCAATCATAGAGACCCTATATTGGGTTTCAGAGGAGCATCTGGTGAGTTTGAACCACTGACCTTGTGGTTAGCAATCCAGTCAGTGCCTATCCTACAGCACCACACTAGAACTCTAACGAGCCAGATGTGGTTGTTAGGTGCTGTCAAGCCGGTTCCAACTCATAGTAACCCTGGATAGGGTTTCCAAGGAGCAGTTGGAAAATAACATAATTTTAAAGAAAAAGGCAATTCAATGGCTTGATAATCAGAACTCCACTAGATGAAGATTACCCAAAATATATATATATATATATATATTTTTTTTTTTTTTATAAAGGAAACAAGGGTAAATTGCTACAATTTTATGAACCTGACCTATAGTCACAGAGGTAGTAACTCTAAATACCTATCTATACACAGGATAGATAGGGACAGGCAATTTAGGCATTGTTGTTGTTACGTGCCGTGGAGTGGGTTTCGACTCATAGCAACCCTGTACAGGGTTTCTGAGGTTGTAAATCTTTATGGGAGCAGAAAGCCTCATCTTTCTCCCAGGAACAGCTGGTAGTTTCAAACTGATGACCTTGCAGTTTGCAGTCTGATTAGTAACCACTACACTACCAAAGCTCCTTAATTTAGACATTAACTACCTAAAATGAGGGCCAATAAAGGCACTGGCTTACAAGGTTTCAAGAGAGTTCAGTTTAACAGTATGGGATGGGGGTAGAAAGAGTCCCCACTGAATAGCTTTCTTCTTGTCTAGATGGGTCTGGTGAAAAGAGACAGGGATAAGATCCATATGATTCAATAGTGAATAATTATAACTAATTGCGACTGTCACAATTGTAAAGGTAGAAGTTTTGTAACAAAAACAGGGGAGTGGTTAATCTTATAGTCCAGAAACAGAGGATCCTAGGACCATCAAGGGAGAAGAGCACAAGCAGAATGCAGGACCTTATCCAAAGAAGCAGCAGTGCCAGATATGGAGGCAGAGATGTGGGCATGGAGAGAAGGAGGCAAGTGGCTGAGGACTCTAAATTCATCAACTAAGAAGAGAGGGACTAAGAGCTGGTGGCCAGGAGCAGACTTGCAGAATGTGCCCTTTGGAGATGTAAGTTATTATATATGCCTGAGTGTTTTTTGTTTTTGTTTTAAAAAAAAAAACAAGCTAAAGTGAATAGAGAGAAATACTGTTAACTGATGGTACATGGAGGGGATTATAATCATTGTAATGAAACAATGTATATGATTTGTTGAATGTAAAAGTGATGATCTGCCCTATAAACTTTCACTCAATCCACAATAAAAACCTTAAAATTAAAAAAAAAAAAAGGCAATTCAAACTATGGTTGCTATATGCAAAAGAGGCAGTTCAAACCCACCAGCTGCTCCTCGGAAACCCTGTACAGAGTCACTAGAATCAGAATTGACTGGATGGAACTAAACAACAACAACATAAAACTAGAAAGAAATACAAAATACACCAAAATAATAATGATGTTAGAATGTAGGATTACAGATTTTTCTATTGTTTACATTTTTTAATCATGATTAATATTGTTTATAGAAAAAGTACAAAAGGAGTAAGAAAGACTATACTCTTTAAATTAAAATAAATTTTATTTAAAGCATCTTTTAAAAGTACAGCATGTTTATTCTTATGCTGTTAACTCTACCAAACTACAATTTAGCCATCTGAAGCATAAAACACTTCAAAAATTTGAATATAAACCACAATTTTAAAACAAAAAGCAGTCTTAACACACCTCAAATTTTAGATTCCAACGTATTTTGTCTGAATTTATAGCTTCTATCAATAGAACATTTTAAATGTTTCTATAGTAAGTAGTTGTGATCATTCTTAAACTGTTCCAATTATACAAGAAAAAAAAAAAGTTTGCAACTGTATAACTATTATGGTTGGCAAAAGCTGAATGGAGAAACCAAACTCTTACTTTTGAAAGCCTTCAACTTTATTATCTGTAAATTGGCAAGTATTTGTATTTAAAATTCTTACTGCCCTCTGTTCTTTAGGTAAATTCATAAAATTTTCAATTTCCCAGGACTCATGAGTCTTGCTTTTTTCATTCTTATGCTTTGTTTTAATTCATTTAAATCAAATTTGAAAGGAAAAATTCTAGAGGAAATGTAGAAATCTAAACAAAGAAATTCAGATGTTCCCATGTTTATAAGTGCTCAAAGTTAAAATTCTATATACCAGATTAAAAACAAAATTCTCTGACCATTACAAATATAAATTCTCTTATTACAAAAAAAAAACCCCTCAAGATTTGTAATTTACTGTACAGAGGAATTACATTTTTAAAGTACGTCCTCTTCATACACATTATTTGTTACTATATCTTCTTTCACACTTTCACTACTTTTCAAGACATTTACATATTCCCCTTTCCCCATGGCTATATATTTAAACTATCTATGTACTGCAACACATTAGGATTTTTTAATAAAGAAGACTACATTCTAGTAATGTTTAAACTACACCTGTAAGATATTACTTCAATTCAAAAAGGAAAATAAGGCGCTGAAGAACCCATATTTCCCTCTAGTATTCTGAGGTTTACCATGCTATGCATGTTCTTTAGTTTCTGCTTAAACAAAAGCTCAAATTTTTGAGGCTTACACCTACATATATAGGAGGTGGACTGCTCAGCTCTTGATTTTTCTGTTCATGCTTCAGTACATACATAAAAGTGATGTTTAATAACTTAATCTATTTGGGAAAATGGTTTAAAACCACCACACAAGTTAACACACCTGCAGTAAAAACTAATCTAGAAGCCTACTTATTTGAGCTAATATTTCCTGCAGTGTTTAATTAATAGCTAAATTTAGTGAACACAAAATAGTTTGGCATGTTATTCTGAAGTAAAGCAAGGTAGCTTTATGCACTGAAAATATAAATATGGAGGCTTCCACTTGCTAATGATTCTAAAGAAGCAGTACAATTACAATTTAGTGTTTGCTAACAAGAGATTTAGAAACAGTTCATTACAAAACAACCCTGTAGATGTCTCGTTTATTAACACAAATCCAAGTGCCAAATCTCATTACAGGGCCCATAATATATATTTTAAAAATTATCAATTACCATGTTACCTAGACTTTGCAAGATTAAACACTCAATTTCAGCAAATGAAAAAATATGAAATGTGCAAAAGTTCCCAAGTTAATATGCTAGGGATGGCAAGTGCTTTTCAAATCTAAACATCCTAGAAGCTGTAAAGCCCACAAAGATAGAATACGGCTGACTTTATTCCAATGAGAAATTTTTGAGTCACTGTCCATCTTACCCAGATCCTCTATTATCTATTTTCTTCTAAGTCCATACTTTTTATAACAGCTTCCAATCTCTAGCCTCACTGGGCAACTATTTTGCAATTTAAAAATATATACCTTCCACACACATCTTATACTTTCCTATTTGCTTCAGTGTTTACAGTATCGTTAAACATACTAATATACATTGTTAAAAAATGATCTTATAAATAATCTACTCACTTCTTTGGCCATGTGTACTATTCTGATGTTTCACACAAGTGATTTTTTCAGAAAGTGCTTTCCGTGAGAACTGCTTCCCATGAATGCATTAAACTTGCAAAATCTAGCTTCCCACAATATAGTTCTACCCTGTACTGTGCAGTCCCATATTTACAAAATATTTTAAACTTTACAGCAAATCCATTTCCATATATAAAAAAAGTGCAATTCTTTCTCACCCCATATTTTAGGGCAATGACATTCTTCATACATTTCTACGGAATAGCAGCCTATGAAAAGCAAATAAGGTGCTTTAGCTTATGCCCAAGGATCTACTTTTGAAGTCCGATGGGCAGTACTTCTGTACAGTGGAAAAGTCAGTATTCCGGCTACTGGCGGAGCGGCGCCCCAGTCAGGTTGGCGAGCTCGATGAGAGCCAGGGCTCCGTGCAGGCGCTCCCTCTGCTCCTGCAACCGCCGTTGGGCCCCGCTCGTCTCCTTGTCATCCTCCTCTTCGTCAGACTGAAGATACTCCAGAGGGTCTTGCTGCTCCTGGTCAGCCTTCTGAGCGAGCTTGCCTTTCAGGGTAGGGGTCCGCTGCTCTCTCGTTTCCCAATACCTACACGAAATGCATATGCATTAGTAATATCAGTTGTTGTTAAGTGGCGTCGAGTCGGTTCCGACGCATATAGAGTTTCCAAGGAGCAGCTGGTGAGCTTGAACCACCGACTTTGCAGTTCAAATGACTTTGCAGTCTGACGCATTAGCCCACAGGGCCACACCAGGACTCTCAAATGTTCACTCATCTCAAAAAGAGAAGTTTCTACCACAGTATTATTTTATATCTTAGTGTAAAAAGTTAGAAAGTGATTTCACATATATTTCCCATTTACATTAGGATACAAAAAACTGATGTTCAAGGAAGTTGAGGGACTTGCTCTGGGTCTCATAATAAAAAACTGACAGTTCTGAGTCTCACATTCAACTCTCAAATCATGTGTTGTTGCTGTTAAACTATAGTGGCCTTGATGCCACATAGAATGAAATAGAGTAAAATACTGAAAGAATAGGATAAAACTTTCCCACGCACAGAGATGATAACTTTCAAAGGAATGAAGCATTAAAAGAAGGAAAAGAGTTAACTATGTAAAAAGGTATACCTACAAACTATGACAAAGGGATTAAAGTCTATACAGAGAGCTTATTCAAAAATGCAAGAATATACTACCATTACATAGCAAATGCTCAACCCTTCCGATAACTAAAGAAATGCAAATTTAAGTGGTATAATTACATTTTTAAAAATCTATACTAAGACTATTGTTTTTAACTTTTTATTGTGAGTTGACTGAAGGTTTATAGACAAGACCATCAATTTTATGTTCAACAAATCATACACTTTGTTTCATCTCAATGATTGTAACCCTTCCATGCAACAACAGTTACCCACTTGCTCCCTGTGGTTTCCATTTCCACTCCACCCTCCTTCCCATTCCTTCTCAACTCTGTCCTTAGGTTAATGTTGCCCTTTTGATTCTTAATGATTGACCACTCCATGGTGATCATATCTCATCAATATTGTTGTCCCCACTGTATACCTAACTACTGCTTCGCTGAAAATTGGGCCACGAGGCTGGGTTCCTTTCCAGACCTGAAGAGGGTGGTCAAGGGCCATTGTCTCAGGTTCTTCCAGTCTCTTTCTGACCAGTATAGGCTCAGTCTTTTTTTTGAATAATTTTTAGTTTTGTTCCACATTTTCCTCCCATTCTATCCAGGACCTCCCAATGTGACCCCAGGCATCATCTAATCTTAGTTCCTCAGGTCTCAGAGCCGTGGTAACGGATGTTCACATGTTCCATCAATCTGTTGGACTGATTCCAAGAATCTTCAATTCTCATCACGCTTTTTTCTTCCAGGGACAGACCAATAGTTGCAACTTAGATGGCTGCTCATGAGATTTTTAAGATTCCAGACAAATAGCCTTTTTTTTTTAAGCTTTATTTTTAATAGCCCAAAACAACAAATGTCCATCAACAGATGAGTGAATAAACAAGATGAGGTGTAACTGTGCCATGGAATACTACTCAACAAGAAAAAGGAGTGAACTGGTGATACACTCAACAACACAGATGAACCTCAAACTAATTATGTTGAGATAAAGGAGCCAAACAAAAATACATATTGTCTAAAATTCTGGAAAATGCAAACCCATTTTTAGAGAAAGAGAGTACATTAATGGTTGGTTGAGAGAAAACTATAAGGCACTGGAGGGATGTATTATCAAGGGTTATGAGGCAACTTTTGGAAGTGATGGATATGTTCACTCACTTGATTGTGGTGATGGTTTCATGGATGTACAATTCCAGGGGCTTCAAAAAGTTTTATGTAAAACTCCCATTATCTTTTCATTCAATTTTTCATAAACTTTTGAAGCAACCACTGAGTGCTAAAATGTATCAATGTGTATACTTTTAGGAAGTACAATTCATTGTATGTTAATTACACTTCAACTAAGTTGTTAGAAAATTATATTAAAAAATAATAACATAACTACCAGGTTTTAGGAAATTCAAACTACACAAACTGAAAAAACGTGTAAGTAGCCACTGAAGCATAAACAAAGAAATGCAAATAGCTCATTCAGTACAACTTAAAGGACAATCAGAAAAGGAGAATGACAAAAATAAATTTAGTAGCTAGAGGACATTATGTTAAGTGAAATTAGTCAGTTACAAAAGGACAAATATTATATAAGAACACTAATGTAAAAAGTCAAGAAAAGGTTTCCAAGCTAAATGAAACATTCTTTGATGTTTACCAGGGGTGGGAGGGAAAGGGGAGTTAATTCACTGGCTAGTTAACATGAGTTGACACATGTTAACTTGGGTGGTAAGAAAGGCAATATATAAGGGGAAGGTTGGCAGAAGAATGATGAAGACAGGGGAAGACACAGAGAGGAGAGCAAAAGTTAAAGGGAAGAGAAGTATACTGTCATATGCACAACCCTGCAACAACAGTGATCTATGGGTCGAAACATGGACAGATACACAGGCTGAATGGGCATAGAAGGAAGAGTGAGAGTATTCCACAAATATATAAAGGTTTGACAGAGGGTATTTGTACATGGGTATTTACCTTAGCTACAAACATATCTATGAATGTGGTTGGACAAAGCTATGAAAACTTCTTAGACATTACCAAACACCTTGATGGAATGAGTTGCTGGTCTTAGAGGTGTGTCGACACCATGGTCAACTGGCATAACATAGTCCATGAAGACAATGTTCTACGTCCTACTTTTGTGAGTAGCTACTGGGATCTTAAAATTAAGCTCATTAGTGGGCATCTAAGGTGCAACCATTGATCTCTCCCTGTGCAGAGAAAGAAAAGTGGTGAAAATTGAAGATACTCGGAATCAATCAGCTCTTTGGACAAATGAAACACATGAACACCAGTCTCTATGACTCTAAGACCAGAAGAACTAGATGGTGTCCATTTACCACTACCACCAAATGTTCTGAAAGGGATCACATTAGATGGTACTAATTAGAATGGGAGAAAATGTGGAACAAAACTCAAAATTATAAAAAAAATTTTATAATTTTTTAAGCTTAGTGGTCAAAAAGAGACTGGAGTAACAGAACCCTAGATTATGGCCCTCAGTCACCCTTTTGGTCTGGAACTGCATGGCTCAATATTGGGAAGGAGGGCTGTTGCTGTTATTAAGTGCCTTTGGGTCCACTTCAACTCATAGCAACCCTGTATAGGGTTTCCAAGGCTTTACATCTTGCAGGAGCAGAAAATCTCACCTTTCTCCCATGGAGTGGCTAGTGGGCTCGAACTGCCAACCTTGTGAGTCACAGTCCAGTGCTTCTCCTATGGAGTCACCACACTCCCTTGGAAGGAGGATGGGATAGAAATAAGAATCATAGGGAGGAAGTGGATTAACTATTGTTGCACGGAGGGGACTGCAATCATTGAGATGAAACAAAGTCTATGATTTGTAGACTGTAAAGCTGATGGCTAACCTTCTCTACAAACCTTCACTCAATTCACAATAAAAAATACAAAAAAAAAGTTTAGTGAGGTAAGCAGTGATGTTGTTATTATGTATCGTGGAGTCGGTTCCAACTCATAGCTACCCTGTACAGGGTTTCCGAGGCTGTAAATCTTTACGAGAGCAGAAAGCCTCATCTTTCTCCCGTGGAACAGCTGGTAAGCAGTGATAGAGATACTAAATTTCATGCCCTCATGAAACATTTCATCCAGCTAGAGAATTTCTGTAGCAATGCTGACAAACTGTTCTTGGCTTAAATAATCAAGTCGTATTTTCAGCTTCCATTATCTGGTTTGTTTATACTTTACCCAAGCTAAGCATGGGACTTATTAATTCAAATATTTATCAAGGACATATGCTGTGGTAGGCCCTGGAGATACACTAGAAAACAAGACAAATATAATGCCTGCCCTTGTGAAGCATCTGCTGCAACAGGGAAAACAGATACTAAGTAAGTGGGTGGTGGATATTCTGAAAGGGAAAACACAGTGTGTTATAAAAGCATCTATAAGTAGTAAGTGGGTCTAACCTTGTGTCAAGAAGTGGTGAACAGGTGAAAGGAGGTGCCCCTCAAATGATAGGGGACCTAAGTTAGACCTGAAGGGTGAGCAAGTGGCTAAACCAAGAGGGACACGGGCAGCATGGGCATTGTAGACAGGGGATGTGTGCACGGATGCCCTGACAGAGCACTGAGGCCCACATGCAGCCCAGTGTGGCTGGAGGCAGTTGTGGGGCAGAACTTGGTGGGCAGAACTTGGCAGCACAATTACGGGTCTGGAACTTTATTCTAAGTGCAAACCAAACCAGTGACTGCTGAGGGGCATGATCACGTGCTGCTGGCTTCTAGACACAATTGTTGTTGTTAAATGCTATCGAGTCGGTTTCAACTCATAGTGACCCTATACAGGGTTCCCAAGGCTGTACATTTTGGGGGGAGCAGTAAACCTATCTTTCTCCAGAAGAGCAGCTGGTAAGTTCCAACTGCTGACCCTGTGATTGGCAGTCTGTGCTTTATCTTATAAGAGCCACTATGTTCCCTGTATATACAATAGTGAATCCTTTAAAAAATACATCCTAAGAAGCTGTTTTGGGCACTGGTCTCCTTGTTGCCATTAAAAAAATATTCAATTGGGTGCTGTTTGGAACTTTACTTCAGAACTTCTAACTCTAGTAGAAAGAAAATGAAGAGTATACCCTAACAACAAATGAAATACAGTAAACATAAAGCACTTAAAAGAAAAAGAAAGTTACTAAAGAGGTATATCTTGATTAAAGGGGAAAAAAAGGGCATGCTTTCAAAACAAAATATGGCCTGGACTCTCAGCTATTAATCTCATTTTGTAGTCTTCTATCACACACAGATCCGAATGCTACTCAACAATTTTGTGGTTTCAGAAAATATGGTGCCATTTCAAATATTTTATAAGATGTACCTAAAGCCAACTTATTTAAAATGAAAGAATGTTAACCCAAGTCCTCAACACAGACTTTCCCAGTGGCCTAAACGCAGAATGCCTTACTTTGCCAACCACGCAGCGGCAGCCTTGTTGTCCGCAGCCTGGTGCTTACTGAGTGTGTCTGTGAGCTCCTCTCTCTTCAGCCTGGCATAAGGGTGCTTCGGACAGTGGCGGTTTGCATGGGTGAATCTGCTTAGGCAGCCTTCAAAACACAAAGGGGAAACACTTGTCAGAATCTGTACATCCCGCAAACAAATATGGAAAAATGCCTGGTTTCCCTAGTAGCTAAGAAAAGTAACTGAAGATGGTAAGGCTTAGCATTTTATAATTTGAAAGGAAAAACCCTCTAACAGATAGAATAGTATTACTAATGCTCGTGAGGGGAATGGTGAGATGGATCTTTTCTGTCTTGATGACATGCTATGGTACAAGTCATAGACCTCTGACCAGTACTTCGTTTTTTGGAATAAGGAAATGTCTCAAAAGATGAACAAAGGCAATCACTGAAGCAATCATGCACAAGCAAAGTCTCTAGATAAAATAGTTCCCAGACATTTTTAACATTTGTTTTAATAATCAAGAAAACCATAGAGCAACAGAACAAAACTAAATATAATTTCAAATATAGCTATGTAAAAAGGTACGTAAGAAAAACATCTGGTAAGAAACTACTATCAGCAAATACTATCAGGAGCTCTGGTAGTACAGTGTTTACAAGTCGGGCTGCTAACCTCAAGGTCAGCAGTTAGAAACTACCAGTTGTTCCTCAGGAGAAAAATGACATGTTCTGCTCCTGTAAAGATTTACAGACTCAGAAACCTACGCAGGGTTGCTATGAGTCAGAAACGATTCCAAGGCACACAATCACCACCATCAGCAATAGTGTTAAGAACGTAAAATTTCTCCTACTCTTTACTGAAAACAAAGACAATGTGCTTACTTCGGGTTAAGTCAAAAAGTTCAAAACCAAAGTAAAAGGCTACTCTAAAGGCTGTACTTACTTTTGTAGATTTTCCTGCTACCTGCAACTACAGATAGTATTCTTAATTGCCCTTCAATATTTTCATCATAATATATATTTAAATTCAATCATTTCAAAGACGTTCAATATGGATTATAATTAACAAGGAAGAAAGCTTATATGTTCTATAAAATCTGTATCAAAAATCTCTCCCCATAAAAATTCAAGCAAAGGTATTTAAAGCTTATATGTTCTATAAAATCTGTATCAAAAATCTCTCCCCATAAAAATTCAAGCAGAGGTATTTTAACCTTTAACTCACAACTTTGATCTCATAAGCTTAACTTCAAACACCATACCATTTTCTGAACAGACAAAAGGTTTCTCTCCGGTGTGAAGACGTTGATGAGTTTTGAGCTGCCCGCTTTGAACAAAGGCTTTTCCACAGTCTGGATAGTCACACATATATGGTCTCTCACCTAGGTATGTAAATGTTATAGGTTACTTTTGAGAGAATAAGGTGAGAAGAAGAAATGGGATGAAAGAGATTCAACCTCTGTGTAGGTCATACTCCCAAACAACAATAAAGCACGTCATGGCTTCTATAGCACTACAAGTGGAAACACCAACAAGAGCCCTTCAATGATACCAAACAACTCTCAGCTTAGAAACACAAACGTATTTTCTTCAGGCCTTAAGGTTTTACTTCAGGATCAAATTCTTGAAACTATTGTCTTTGGCTTATACTGTTGTTTTTTTACCCTCCATAATCCGAATCACTAGCTTACTGATTCCCTTAAATGTCCCTCCTGGTTCTCTAACTGACAACTTTCTTGGTGGAGATTGGCAGCTCCTTTACCCCTTCTGACAGCCTGGCATTCTGGTTTCTTTCCCTGCAGGGTACTTCTGGAGAAGCCAGCACAAAACTCACCTTTTATCATACAGTCGATCCCCTAAACCATCCCAGATGCTATTACACTTATTTCCCTAGTACATAGTGAAGTACGAAGTACAGGGTAATGCAGTGTTCAAGGTCGGTCACATAGTGGTGAGTAGTAGATCCAGTGCTGGGATTCAGGCTCTTTTCTTGAAGTCACATAGTCTTAGCTATGCTGGCAACAAGTGTTCTGTGGTCTGTGTACCAGACCACAGTTATTTGAAGTTAAGTTAGATTGAAAAATATATAAATTCTCAAAATTGGAGTATTTCACTTAGTATCACTTTTACTTCTTGTTGTTGTTAAGTGCCGTCGAGTCGGTTCCGACCCATAGCTACCGTGTATAGGGTTTCCAAGGAGCAGCTGGTGAGCTTGAACCACCGACCTTGTGGATCAAACCGACTTTGCACTATTAAGTAAAACCAGGACTCTACTTTTAACTTAATAGTACCTAAACCAAAATTTCTAAATACCATATTATAGTATAATTATTCAAAATTAAAACTTTATTTTCACAGGCATTCCTGGTGTGGCACTGTAGGATAAGCGCAGGACTGCAAGCTCAGTTTGAATCATGAGTTAAGCAGTTCAAATTCACTGGGCACTCCTCAGAAACCCTATACTGGGTGTCTATGAGTCTGAACCAACTCAAAGGCACTTAGCAACAGCAACATTTTCAGGGATTTAGCTAAGAAAACAACACTCTACCGTATTATCAGAATACATTTTCCAAACCCAAAAGAAAAAACAGTGATAACCATAATCATAGTGGAAAAAATAAAGGATCAGTTTTCAAGCCCAAGCTCTCGATTGTTGTTGTTAAGTGCCGCTGAGTGGGTTCCAACTCATAGGGACCCTGTGTGGGTTTGAACTGTTGTCCTTGTGGTTCGCAGTCCAGTGCCAGTCTTACACCATAACACCAAAAGTCCCCTACTCTACTCTATATGCTGTTAAGTGTCATCAAGTCAGTTCCTACTTACAGAGATCCTATATAGGATTTCCAAGGAGCAGTTGGTGGGTTTGAACTATCCAACAGAAACATAATACAAGCAATGTATTTTAGCCAGTCCTGGTGTGGTACTGTGGGTTAATGCTCCAGACTGCAAACCCATTTGAACTACAAAGTCGGTGGTTCAAGCTCACCAGCTATTCCTCGGAAACCCTGTACAGGGTAACTATGGGTCAGAACCGACTCGACAGCACTTAACAACAACAACACTGAGGGCAGGGACAAAAAGAAACAGGTGACATTAATTATATTTAACTTAACTCAAGTTCAAACTCACCAGTCGCTCCTTGGAAACCCCATACAGGGCGGCTACGAGTCAGAAGCAACTTGGCACTTACAACAGTATCTAAAACATTACCATTTCAACATGTAATTAATATAAAAAATTATTACTGAGATTGTTTACTTTCTTTTATTTTTGTTCATATGAAGTCTATTTACTGCCCATCCCAATCTGGACTAGCCACTCTTCAAGTGCTCAATAGCCACATATACTAGTGGCTAAGACACTAACCAGCGTAGTTCTAGAACATGGGTATGAGAAGGTCTTGTTGTTGTTAAATGCCATAGAGTTAATTACGACTCACAGAGACCCTGTATGGGGTTTCCAAGGAGTGGCTGGTGAGCTTGAACCACCAACTTTGCAGTCTAGCGCATTAACCTGCAGCACCACACCAGGACTCATGAGAAAGTCTAAGACAGTAGTAATTGGTTTGGAAATGATTGGATGATTCAAAAGGTTCTTTCTTCTGGGGTCAACTTTCTCTAAGAAGAGAACAAGGGCCCTCTATAACATATTTTGTTGTTGTTGTTCACTATATGGTACTTAAAAAGCAAGTCGAAAAGTCAGTGGTTCAAGCTCACCAGCAGTTCCTCAGAAACCCTACACCGGGACACTATGAGTTGGAACCAACTCAATGGCACTTAACAACAACAACAATTTCTATGTATAAAGAAAGATGTATGATAACCTTTAGATAAATGCTTAGAGTACATTTAATTCTAAAAAACTATAGTTCACCATAGAATTGATGACTAAGCCTACACTAAGATGGTACTGAGGACTCTGGAAATCATATTATAAACTTTATTTAGGCTACAAATGAGTTTTAACAATTACAGACACAATATAAGAGCATACCTAGTCAAATTCAAGAAGGCACAAAGATGAAACTAAATTTAGCAATAACATGCCTGTTACATTATGTATTAATTACCATGGTAACTTTTGAAGTTACATGGAACAAATGTTCAGAACTCCTTCCCACCAAAACAGAAACTGACTACATGGGTCTGTTTTTAAAAACTTCACTACCAGTGGTGGTAATAGAAAATATAAAGCAAGTGAAAAACTAGTTTATAGGCTCAAGCATCAAACCAGCATTGGGTAAAATGTCATCTCTGGCCTCTAGAATTTGCTCATCTTACCTGTATGAGTCCTTTTGTGGGCCTGCAGTGATTTCTCCCGTGGAAACACCCTATTACAAATGTTACAACGGATTCTGCTGGATGAATGCTCTCCTTCATTGATTAAATCCCTGACAGTATCCGCTCTGGGTCTACCACGTCGGATTCCATCCTGTTAACAAATTTTATAAACATTAACTTTACATTTTGCATTCCACTCATTAAAGCAAGATATCACTGAGAAAAATATTTTTTACAGCAAAAAATGGCAGAGTACGATATCATCTCACACCAACAATAACAGCAAAGATGAAAAATGGAGAAGACAATGCTGGTGGGGATGTGGAGAGACTGGGACACTCTTGCATTGCTGGTGGGATTGCAAAATGGTCCAACCTCTCTGGAAGACAATATGGC